AAGCAGATACCTTAAAGCAACTGAGGCCAATAGGAAAAGGGGACCAGGAACTAGAGAAAAGGTTAGATTAAAAAGAATTAACCTAGAAGGTAACACCCACGCACAGGAAATCAATGTGAGTCAATGCCCTGTATAGCTATCCTTATCTCAACCAGCAAAACCCCTTGTTCCTTCCTATTATTGCTTATACTCTCTCTACAACAAAATTAGAGATAAGGGCAAAATAGTTTCTGCTGGGTATTGAGGGGGGGGGAGTGGGAGGGGGTGGGGGCAGGGGGGAGAAATAAACCAAGCCTTGTATGCACATATGAATAATAAAAGAAAAAAGAAAAAAAAAAAAAAAGCAGTGCTGCCTAGGCCACTGGTCCAGGAGGAGACAGGGAGTTGCCATCATTCTGAGGCAGGCTTTAGGGTTTTCTCTTTATTTTTTCCGTCTAGGCAGCTTAGATGAGAGGGAGACATTGTCACCCTCAGTTGTGGCCTAGACAGGCTGTCTGAGGGGAAGAAAGGCGGCTGACTTTCACTTTGTTTTGTGCTTCATCTTTTGTCTCACATGGTTTTGTGTTTGAAGCAAAGTCCCACTCTGTCCTGCTGTCCCTACATTCCCCATTTGGAAATTGTGGGGAGTAAACAAGATGCCACCATGAGCTTAGGGTTGTTTACCACCATCTCCAAGTCCACATTCTCTTTTTTCTGTATCTGTCTGTCTTTCCCACACATACACACACAAAATGGGGGCTAGAGACAATTCGGTTGTCTCCAGTTTGCCCTCACTTGGTGTGGGTGAGAACGCAGAGGCTGGCATTCTTCATGAGTGCAGCCTGTGCCCAGAGATCCCATGGAAACCCTAAAAGCTGCCTCCTTTTACACTCAGGAAAGCCCAGTAAGGGTGGAGTGAGCTGGCAGCCCCTTACCTTAAGAGGGTGCTTATTCCTGGGACCATGATTCCTATCAACTTGCCTTTCCTGGAATGGTGGTAGTGGTGGGTGGCGTTCTCAGAGGGAAGAGACTGATACCTCTCTGGGCAGAAAACCCCGCTCCCCTCTAATGATTTTCTTGGGTCTTCTGGGAACTGGAGGACTGGGCAGCCCCAGGGGCAATGGAGATGCAGAGCATGTCTACTGCCACTAGAGGGTGTGTCACTAACATGCGGCCAGGTGCTGGCTTCCCAAGGCCACCATAGGGGGGCTTTTTTGGGTCCCAAGCCCTGAGTGTCCCGCAACTGGCAGGAGCTCACCTCTGGGGGTGAGCAGGGAGAGATACCAGACAGGACTGGAACCCACACCCAGATGGCCCCAAACCCAGCCTCCCAGCCCCTCTAGGTTATTTCCTGCTACCCTAAATCTCCTTTACCTCAAATTCACCTTCCTAATTCTATCTCCTGCTGTGGTTAAGATAAGGGTTTCTAAATACCAGCACCACTGACATTTGAGACTGGGCAGTCTTTTGTTGTGGGACTGTCCTATGCATTGCAGGCTGATTAGCAGCATTCCTCCCACATGTGTCTACCTCCCACATAGCAGTAACTCCTCCACCTCCACCCCCAGGTCATGGTAATCAAAAATGTCTCCAGTCTTGGCCAAATGTCTCCCAAAATTGCCCCTGGTTAAGAGCCACTGTTGAGGTAAGCATGTCTGCTGTGGCGCCAGGAGGGAGTGAGGCTCAAGTCCCAGCCACAGAAGGAAACAGTAGAGATGCTCAAAGATGGCATATGTGCTCTAAATACATTTTAGAACTGTATTTGCTCTCCTGCTTTTCCTCTCCAAAGATTACAGAGCTTCTCGGTCTTCATCTGGGTTTATTCCACCTCCCTATGTTATTAAAATAGGAGAGTGAGGCTCAGAGGCTCCCAGGTTCTCAAGCCACTCTCACCTACAGAGCCCTGTCCCCCAGCTGTGAGCACCCTGGACTGTTGGTCTCCGCAGCCATTGGCTTGGACCCCAATAGCATCTGTGGGCTCCCTCCCACTCCACCTGCCCACTGGGCCCTGCCGCCCTCCAGCTCCCCAAACCCGGGTGCCCCCCCTACTGGAGGGGGGGAAGCAGCAGGTGTTGATGCTAATCAGTGTTCACAGCCCAGAACTGCAGTCGCTCCCAGGCTCACACACTCCCCAAAATTAAACACTCATTATACAAAATTAATTGACATTAATTAGCAAAAATTAAAACTTTAAACACAGAAAGGCGCTTTGGGGGGAGGAGTGGAGCAGGCGGGCTCTGCATTTGTTGCCCCCCACTTCCCACCCACCCACCACCCCCAAGTCTCCACAGTTCCATCCTGAAGCAGGGCTGGAAGAGTTCAGGCCAGGACCACATTTTTACCCCACCACAATCCAGTGAATCCCAGTCAAGGGGAACAGGCAGAGGCACCCTGTACTAGTCACCATCTGATGCGTGGCCCACAGACTCCAAATCCAGTGCGTAACTAAGGAGCCAGGAACCTTCCCTCAGCCCAGGTGCCCAAGATCTCAGCTGAGACAGGAGAGTCATGGCCAAAAGAAGGAACTCAATCTTTGGAAGAACTCTGCCTGGCTCCCAGCCCTCTCGCCCCTGGGTACCTAGAGGTTTAGTCACTGTAGCGTTTCTGCTCTGTTCCACTTTGCTGTGTGACCTCAGATAAGCTACCCCCCTCTCTGAGCCTCAGTCTTCCATCCATATGATGAGGGGGTGGTGCTGGGTGAGCACTGAGGTTCCTGCCTGCTCTGGCACCTGCTGTCAGGGATGCAAGTCTCTGGGAACTTGATTCCCTCTGAGTGAGCCACCAGGGGCTGAATATGGGGACTGGCACTTCTAGGGCATGGAGTGGCCACAGTGGGCCGAGTCACCAGGCCCCTAGGAGTGCATCTTGAGTCCAGAGAGCCCTCTCAAAGGGACATCTACTTCACCTGCCCCAGAGGAAAGGAGAACAGCACCCTCCTTAGGTGGCAGCTCTGATGGCCCTGAACAGTTTCCCTCCTGATTGTGTTCCCCTTTGCTTACCAGCTAGCAGGATAACAGAACCAGTCCTCCCCCATCCCCAATCTTTGCAGCCTAAGCATTTGTTCAAAACCCTTAGGGCCTGGGCAGGGAGGCCTGGCTAGGGGAGGAGCCAAGTGGAAAGCCATCCTCTGCCTCACCCCTGCTCCCTGTACCCCTCTCTCTCTCTCCAGCCAGTGCCAATATCTGCAACGTGGTCCTGATGCGGTATGGGGAGCTGGAGGAAGGGATTGATGTCCTGGATGCTGACGGCAACCTCGTGGGCTCCTCCAAGATCGCAGCCAGACACGTGGGTCGGCCGTGGGCTCAGGGGCCTTGGGAGGGGATCAGTTTTCCCATAACATGTTCATTCCTTCAAGGCTTCTCACCACAGTACTCTCTTGATGTCTTCCCCTTACCCCAACCCCCATCTCCCATCTGTATGAGCTCTGGACCTCAGAGCCTGTTCCCAGCCAAGACTGTACCCCTGGACTTCTCTCCAAACATCTCAGCCCCTGGGGACCCAGCTCCTCGGCCGAGGTGTTAATTGGTGAGGGCAGAGGAGATTCCCCTAGAACTTTCTCCAGGCCCAGAGTCCTGCCACCCTGGGGCCTCCACATCCTTGAGTACTAACAAGAAGCTGGAAGCAGCGGGTGTGGTTTGGCTAATAGGTGTTTCTGCAGCCACCTTACTGAGGGCCAGCACCCAGTGCTTGCTGAGGCCACTGCATAGTTTGTAGAATTATGTTTCCTTACAAGACCTCTTTTCACCTCTGGTTTCACCAGCCCCACTCACTGTAGTGCTCGTGAGTTTAAAACCCTCTCGGTGCATGTGTACATGTCCTGTGTTTTTCCTGTCTTCATCCTAGTGGTGGCTGGTGGCTCATCCCTGCTGCACTGGGCTCTGGCCTGTATGTGCTGGGAATGGGGCGAGTAGTCAGTCATGAGGGGGACGAGCATTTACCTTGCTTCAGCAACTGCCTCCCAGGGCCCAAGCCTCACTCCTATCCATGAGGCCTTCTTGATAAGCTTTAGAACCTTCCCCTGCCCACCATTGTCAGGGAAAGTCAGGGCCCTTCCAGGGCTTGTGAGAGGATAGGGGCTGGGGTACCATGACAGCAGTGCATCCTCTCCTCAGTGCCCCATTCTAGGCCCTTCTGTTCTTCCCATACCTGTTCAGGAGCCTGGAGGGATCCTCTCTGTCCTTCTGGAGGCTGATCATGAATGGCTCAAGTTCCTGGGAGAAACGTTCAACCCTTAGCCCATCATCAGAGGGCATTTAACCTACATGATTCCAACCTCCTTTCCCAGCCAAATCTTTTTCCCCAACCCCTGTGATGGAGAGCAACCATTATAACTCCTCCTCACAGGTAAACCAGCAAGGAAATCCAAGTTCTTCTGTAGCTTTGGGCTTCCTTCAGTCTGGCTTGGCCTGCTCCTCACTGCCTGGGGAGAGACTCCAGGGAATCTGTGGGCTGGGAGCCATTCCTGGGGTCTCCTCTGAGCATGGGAATCCACGGGGTTAAAGGGACTTCCCACATGGTCATCCAAACACAGAATTGCCACTGAGCTGGGCCCCAGACTATACCAGGAATCCTGTGGGATCCCTGAGAGGAAGGCCCCAGGGAGACCCTATACACACGTACCATGGAAACACTGGAGGTGCTCAGCAAAACCTGTCCTTACAAAATGAACCTCTTATCACTAAGAAAGACTCATCCAGAGTCAGGAGATGCAAGGTCTTCTGATCGTTGGCTTTGCAGGATGTTAAAGTAAAGAAAAAAAAAAAAAAAAGTAAACTCAGAATCTCTGTCCCCCCTCAGCACCTGATGCCTCAGTGATTCAGCAGGCCCTAGCTATTTGTCCCAGCCTTTCCAGTACTCTTGAGAACATCTCAGGTCCTCCATGGGCTGCTTCCTAACCCATGCATGTCACCTCTGCCACCTGAGCCTGTGTCTTCCTAAGCACTGGCTTCTTTCTGGGGCTGCTTCTGTCACCACCCCTCCCCCACATGTGGCAGGTGACAGGAATCTGCTCTTTCCAAATATATGTGGTAAGATGGAAAGGCTTTTTTCTGTTGTCTGGAATAAGGCTTGTGAGCAATGCCATGAATAATTCCATGTGCCAGATGTGCTTAGCAGCAGCACATACACCTAGAGCTCTGGGGTGAGGTTTGCTACCAGGTGGCTGTCGTCCCCCCAACCCCCCGCCTCACCATAGCCTGTCTTGCCCCTCAGGCCCTGCTGGAGACGGCACTGACACGAGTGGTCCTGCCCATGCCCATCCTGGTGCTTCCCCCCATCGTCATGTCCATGCTGGAGAAGTAAGTTGGGCAGCCAGGACAGAGGGGGGTCCCTGGGAAGGAAGGTGGGGAAGGGGAACTGGCAAGCCCAGGACAGGGGACAAGGGAGCCACTGGCAGCCTGCCCATTTTATCCTGGGTGTGGAAAATGTCCTGCTCCATTTTCAGACTCTTAAGACAGTGGGGCTGGAATCAGTCCATGCAAATTTGTGGACTTTAACTAGGCAGACCCTATGGTAGGTACTGTGAAGGATAATCTGCGGACAAGGCTGGCCCCACCCTAAGGGGCTGGCAGTCCTCAGGGAGTGTGTGTGTGTGTGTGTGTGTGTGTGTGTGCATATGCTCTTAGTGAACAGTGTAGGACCACTGAAAGGCATAGTTTGAGGGCTCTTGTAGGAAGACTAGATTTGGGGCCAGTGCCACCCCTTGTAGGCATCCAACATGAGGCAAGTCACCACCTCAAGGCAAGTCACCACCTCACTGGGCCTCAGTTTTGCCACGTACAGAACAGGAATAATAACAACCTCCCTGCTTCCCTCAGAGGGATGGTCTAAGGATGTATATTTGTTATGACAGAAAAGAAGGAAGGGAACATCTTAATACCAGTAATAGAGTGGTTCTACTAATTAATGAGTAAAATTGAATGGTGAATACTAAAATGCTGTTGGAAGAAGAGGCTGAGCTGAGAGGGGTGAGGAACTGTGGCTCACCTGCTGGTGCTTCGGACAGACCCTGAGGCTTAAGATACCCAAGAGAATGGCAAGGGGTCCTGGCTTGCACAGGCCCCCTTCCTCCTGGGGGTTCTGCCCTGAGGGGCACTTCAGATGGTGGTTGAGATTGGGGTACTTCATGTAAGGTGTGTTCAAAGGTCCCTGGATCAGGGACTGCTTATTCTTGCAATACTAATTATAACAACTATTATTATTACAGAACTAGGGATGGAATTCAGAGTCTTGCACCTGCTAGGCAAGCACTCCACCACTGAGCTACATCCTCACTCAGCCCCTCTAGGTCTCTTTTATGCCTCTGGCCCTTGTGTACATAGCCCCTCATGAACTGAGGTTGTCTTCAAATACCAGTGACTGCAAGTACAGAGAAGGAGACAGATGAGCCAAGTATGGCTCCGTCTTTGAGACTGCCAAATCCAGAACCTTGGAACTGTGAAGCAGGTTCACTGTGTACTGGTTACTTGTCGCCTGCACAGTGAGGTGCAGAACACTCATAGGACAGGTTAAGCAAAGAAACTTCCTTACTTGCAGGTAGGCATCAAAGGACAGGGAAGCCTAGGATTTGTAGCAAGCCGGTCCCCCAAAGCTCAGGAAAGCTGCCCAGGGAGGATGAACTCTTATGTGCCCATGGCCAGTGTCACACCATAGCTGAGGGAGCCTGGCAGTACTCTGCCCTTGGTTTTATGCTCTGAGTGAACTTGGCTTGCTGGACTAAAGCTTTGCTGGACATCCTGTACTAGGAGGACAGGAACAGAGCCCGACCGGTAGCCTCTTCTTATGTCAGGATATTGCATTCCCAGTCCAGCGTACAGGTACTCTGATAACTGGAAGCAGGAAGAGGTAGGAAAGTGGCTCTACCAGGCCTGCCAGGGATCGATCCTTCAGCAAGAATTTGCTGGAGAGAAACATGGTCTGTGATGCCTTCCCAGTCTGCGTCTGAGCTGAGTTTGCAGAAAGTGGAATGATGGTTAGTGTCCCATTGCTTTCGGACTTAAACTTGGCTTTGGGAGTCATGGAAAGTGACATGGAATTGTTCTGGTTCTGAACCTTTCCAGCCTAGTGTCTGGAGTGCAGTAGTGTCTGGCTCAGCTCAGGCTCTAAGGAGGCCCTTGGGTAGGGAGTAGAAAGAGATTAGCTATTTGGAGATCCTGACAGCCTTGTAAGTGGTTGGTCCTTCCCTGGAGCTCCTGGGAGGGTCTCTGGTGAGAAGAAAGAGTCCAGCCCAGAGTTCTCAAGGAATATCAAAGTGAATAAGACCCAGTGTGTGCCCTCCAAGATTTTACTAATCTCACACATACTCTGGAAGTACAGGCCTGCGTGGTAGGAGAGGTGGGGCAATGTAGCAGAATGAGCTGAAATATATCTGCCAGTCTGCTGTGGTCATAGAACTTTCCCCAGCCTCAGTTTCCCACCTGGAAAATGAGCACCAGCCAGAACCTCTTTGTCTCTGTGCTGGGGGTTGGGGGCATTGCCAAGCATCCCATAGTCTATCTTCTGCTGAGGAGTCTGATGGGAGGGGCAGCCTACCTTGGCGAGCCTGGGTTGGGTGAGGGGGTCCGGGACAGACTGGGAGAAAAGACAAAAGAACACTTACAAAGCAGCCTACTTGCAAATTAATGGAGCGCAAACTAAAACTGCACTCCAAGTGCTGAAGGAATGCATAGCAATGGGGAGACCAGCTGTTGTGTGGAGGCCTGGGGCTGGGACCTGACTTGCTAGCCTCTGGCCTCAGTTTATCTTTTCTGGGAGGAGCACTCAGAACCAAGAAGCCCAGGCCTCTTACTAGGATAAGACAGAGGTGGGAGCCTGTGGAATTAAGCTCAGTTGTCCTTGACTCTCAGGTGGGAAGGGGAGGAACCTCCACTTCAGCCAGTGCCTCTGAGGGAGTACCCCTTGCTCCCCACCAGGGTGGGTTCAGAGTTCCCACTCTACACCTTTCCTACAGCATCCACTAGCCAGATTGAGCAGGAAGTTGGGTTCAGATCTAGGGCTGGGATGCCCTCCACACGTAGCCCCAACAGCTCAGAGGCAGGTGCCTGTGCCAGGTTGGGAGGCCACTCCTCCAGCCCTGCAGCCCTGATCCTGGGATACACCTGAAACAAGGCATCACGCTGGGTCTAAGCTGGGTGGGGGTCCAGGCCACACCCATGGTAGGTCCCTGAGTCCACTCCCCCAGCTTCCTCCAGTTCCTGGGATCCGGGTCTTTCATTTCTCCAGGCATTCGCACATCTCTCCATCTGCATATTTTAACTCCCCCAGCTGCCTTTCCAATCCCTCCCTGCCATTTCCCTCTCCTCTTCCCCTCCCCCGTCCTGCTGTGTTTGCTGTCTGCCTGCTCTGGGCTGAGACTCCTCAGGCTCAGCTTTGTCTGCAGCCTTAGGCCTTCTTCCTGCACTCCCTGCCCAGAAGGGGAGTTCAGCCAGTTAGCCCTGAAGGAGTAGTCAGGATCACAACCCACTTGAAAAGGGGTTTGTTTGGTTTCCCCCAGTGAAGTGCTGAGGACTGAATCCTTAGTCTGTCCCTCACCTCCCAGGGAGGGAGCTTTACTCTTTCTCCCTGTCACCCTTCCCTGCCCTCCATGACCCTTATGGCTGTGCCTCCAGAAACTTCACACCCTCCTGGCACTGCCACTAGGGCTAGAGGGAAGCCCTACCTTAGCCCAGTGACAATTTGGAGAGCAAGCCATGTGTTCTGCCCTCCTGGTTCTGCTTGAGAAGTTGATCTAAACTGGCAGTTTAAGATTAAGTTGAGCAGCTGTCTCAGGGCTGGTCTCAGCTCACTCCAGCCCTTCATGAGTGCTAAGGAAGCCCAGGAGGCCTTGGGCTAATCCAGGGAGGATGGGAGCTAGCATGGACCAGAAGGAGAGGAGCAGGTACTGCCCCCAGGTGTCTGAGCTTGATTTTGTCCTGCTGCTCTTAATCCTTGGAACCTCCACCTTCCACTACTACCCCACTACCACTACTACCACTCTCCATCTTCCCACCCCACCACAATAGCGCCTCAGGCTTAATCTAGCAGCTGGACAAATCATGGAGTTTGGACCAGTGGAAAGAGTTAGAGGACAGCTCAGCCACCAGGATCTTACCTCTTTCCCACAGGTAATGGGCAATAACCACAGCAACTATGATTCACAGTCATGAGCACTTTCTTAGAGCCCAGCGAGGCTGACCCTTTTACTTATATAGAACAGATAACTGAATCTTTATTAATTCCTAAGCAGGAACATCCAGGGGCAGGTTTTCTCAGAAGTGACTGCGGGAATCACCAATTTTATACTCGTGGGGTTGTTTAGAATGCCAATTCCTATGTCTAATTCCTAGGATCTCATGGCATAAGGGGCCCTTCAGAGTTTGCATTTTTAACCAGCTGCCCAGACCATTTCAAAGCACATGAAAGTCTGAGAACAGCTGCTGCTCCCAATTTTGCTGTCTACTCAGAGCCAGGGGCTCCTGGGATTCTTGTTCCAGAAGAAGAAGGTGATACAGGGTTTGCCTGCCCCACCATTGGGGCCTTGTTCCCCAGAGGGAAGGGGCTGTGTTAGTCAGCTATTGTTGTAACAAATACCTGAGATAATCAACTTATAAAGAGAAAGGGTTATTTTGGCTCAGGGTTTTTAGAGGTTTCAGTACATGATCCATTTTGTTGCTTTGGGCCTATGGGCAGCTCATCATGGCAGAACCAAGTGGCAGAGCAAACTGAATCCCTTTATTGCTAGGAAGTGAAAAGAAAAGGGGGCTGGGGTCCCATTATCCCTACTAGGCCCTACCTTTTAAGGTTTCTACCAGCTCTAAATAGCACCACGCTAGAGACTAAGCCTTTAACACGTGGGCCTTTGGGGGACACTTAAGGTCCAAACTATAGCAGGGATCTCTCACCTGTGCTCAAGTCCAGGTCCTCTCCATTGGGGGAGGGACAGAGTTCCTATATGTCCTCTTCATGTGGAGGCCGAAACAAACACTAAGGTTAGACTTAGTGCCTGTCTAAACATCCCCTGGCAAATAGTCCAGTTATCCATTCTGTTGGTGCCCCCCCAGGCCTCTCCAAGTAGAATGCCATGGTCTCCACAAAAGGGCCTCTTGGATTATGTGAGATGGAGAGCTCTGGTGAGCATGGTGAAGGTGTACTGGCTAGCTGGTGTGGCCCCATTCTGTCCTGGCTGACAGCCTCTTTTGTTGTCTCCCTAATGTGTGGCCTTGGCATAAAACTATGTACACAGTGGGTAGGTGTCCACCAGTGTTCATTTATGATTTGAGTAGCTAAGAGCGCAGCAATTTTCTTCACAGCCAGGCCTGGGGAGAGCAGTGACAATCAGAGAAGGCCCCAAAGATGGAATTCCATTATGTCTATTTAGCTAGAGGCTGACACTGACTGCAGAACCAGGCTGTCCTGGCCCTGAGATGGAGTGGGACCCAGTGTGGTGGCTAGTAGCCAGTCCACCCTGTCTTTGGGCCTCATGGGACTCCTCCCTCTCCTCAACAGGACGGCTCTCCTGCAGGCGCGCCCCCGACTGCTCCTACCTGTGCAAAGCCTTGTGTGCCTGGCAGCCTTCGGCCTGGCCCTGCCACTGGCCATCAGCCTCTTCCCACAGATGTCAGAGGTCAGTGGGGGCTTGAGGGCAGGCAGGGAGGGGTTGTTTATTAACAAAGACTTACTGAATGCTGACTCCTTAGCACTGCGCTAGGCACTGTGATCAGAACGGTGACTGAGACTGGCTCAGGCTCTGGTCTCTCAGAGTTGAGTCAAGCAATAAACACAATGATGAAATAGGGAATAGCAAATGAAGTTCAAGAGGAGTTAGGATGGATGTTCAGCTGGATCTGGGAGGAAACAGCAGACCAAATGGAGCTTGGTGGGTGCGGGGGGAGTGACATGTCCCTGGGGCCTAGAAGCTGGGCTTGAGTTGGCTAGGTGCAAAGGGGATAAGAAGACACATGGGCTGGTATGAAGTTGGTGTGAAGGTTCTGAGGTGAGGCAGGACAGGGCATATCCTAAGGGCTGACCAAAGTCTACATTGCAAAATGCAGATAAAGCAGGCTGGGCCAGGTAGTGCTGGGAACTTGGAAGCCAAAGCAGAGAAGGGTAAATGTCATCTTAAGGGCTGTCCAAAACAGAAGCACAGATTCCTGATTTTGAACAGTCCCCAGGACTGTGTCGGGAAGCTGGGTTGGAACTCTGGAGGAGAAGGAACCATCAGGAAGCTGTGGCGGACGTCCAGCGAGAGATGATGGCGGCTTGGACCAGGCTGTTGGCAGTGGGCATGGAGAAATGGGGCCTTTCAGAGACAGTTGGGCAGCTACTTCATGAGGATTTCTGAAAAACTGCATGTGGCAGGATGTGCACCCAGCTTTCTGGTTTTGAAAGCAGAAGGCAGATGTAGATACTGCCTAACAAGATGGCGACACAAGGAGGAGCAGGTTGAAGGAGGACAGAGAGTTGAGTTGGATGGACACCCATGGGTGTGAGGAGCCTCCGGAAGGTAGCTGTCTTGTGGGAAGTTGGCTCTCAGTCTGGAATCCAGGAGAAAGGCCTGGGTTGCAGGGCCAGGAGTAGAGGCCACAAGGCTAAAGTAGTCCTGGTAAGGGCAGAGCTGGACCAAACGGGAGCAGGGGTAGATGGACCTCATGGGCTCCATGAGGTTGTTGTAGAGTGTCCATTGTTCTTGCCATGAAAGCAAACCTTGTCCCCCAGAGCTGGGGTCTAGGTGAGAAGTGAGGCTTGGCACAGAGGGGAAAAAGAGGTTCAGGCCAACACCAGTTCCAGCTGTGGGAGAGCTAGATAGCTTTTATTCATTTGTTTTTCCCTTTATGAAATGGTTAGGGAGGGGAGCTTGTGTAAATGCAAAAGGGAAGCATCAGGAAGAAAGCTGAGGACATTGAGAGGAGGAGGCTGGGAGAGCAAAGGGAGGAGCCCAGAGGCTCAGAAGGAACTAGACTTGGCAGGGGAGAGCCCCCTCTCCCCTGTGGGGGGCTCTCCCCTGTGGCAGGCGGGAGAGGGGTGGATAGCAGATGTAGTTGGGGACAGGGAATGCAGACTGGCATGAAGCTAAGGGATAGGGTAGGGGCAGGCCCAAGGGAGCAAAGAATTGGTGTGGTGTTTGAAGTAACTGAGCTCAGGAGAAACCACTACTGTGGCCAGAGAGGGGCACTTCTGAGTGTGTTATTTCAGGACTGATCTTGCTTCAAGGAGACCCCAAGAGAGGTAAAGAGAGGGCCAGGGTGCCTGGAGGAAAGTCAGTGGAAGTGACAGTAAGAGGCTAGACTGCATATGAGAACTGGAGGCACAGGCTGTAGAGCAGAAGGTGGATTCTAAGCCTCCAACCGGGAGGTTGCTGGAGGGTGAGAGCTGGAGTCACTGCTCTCCACTGAGCCTTGGAGTTCGGGAGACTGTGTTGGGGGTATCTTGGGGACACTGTCCAAGGCACACTAATGGGGATCCTGATGTGTGATATGAGCCAGTTACCTTGTACCCACAGTACTCAGTTTTGCTGTGAGGACAGGAACACTCTCCTATCCCCAGGAAAGCTGAGCCTGGGAACGCCCAGTGGAGTCAGGGCTACACTAGAAGTTCTGAAGACAGGGTGGAGGGTATCCTCCATGTCCCAGGCATTTGAATCTCTAAGGGATTCAGCCTGGCCCTCCCTGAAGTCACAACATCTCTCTCTCTCTGCAGTCAGCCTGAGCCTGAGGCACCAAGGCCAGGGTCTGTGTCCTCCATGTGTGCATGTAACACCATGTGCTAGAAGCTCTGCCTGCTTGCACAGGGAAGGACCAGGGCAGAGAAACCCCATGACGCCAAACCAGATACCATCCCAGCTGGAAGAACTTAAAGGTCACCCAGTTCGCTACCCTCCTTGACTGTACTGGGAAACGAAGGCCCAGAGCAGCCAAGGAACCAGCCCAAGGTCAGAGAAGCCAGGTGCTGATGTGAGAGGAAACCCTGGAGGTCACATTCCCAAGTGTAGACCTGTGGTCCAAAGTCAACCTCATTAAGGCTCCAGGTCCAAGCTCAGCCTCCTCTGTCTCCCATACTTGCTCAGATAAGCACAGATTTTAGTTCTTCTGGGTGTCTAACCAAAGTCTTCTTATCACGACCCAAGCCTCTTCCTCTGTATTGGGAAGAATATAGTCACTGCATAGCAGATCTTAAGCCTTTGGGAAGGGAGTGCTGGAGTATGATTTTCAGTTCCCTGTTCAGCTGCATTGACCCCAGTAGGGTAAAGGCCGACCTGGAGTGTTCTGTGGCCCGTCTGTGACCCATGGCACCAAGACCATAATCCAATTGGCTGAGAGGACCTAATTCTCCCATTTGTCCTCCCAATTAATTCTAACGAGGTGCTTCTTCTGCTGTACAGGGATCACGTCTCACATCCCAGAAGCCAGTGGGATTTGCCACAATAAGTCTGGACTTGCTTGGGCTGACCCAACTTTGCCAAAAGCCACCAAAGCTGTCAATAGAAGTAATCACTGAAATACTAATTAATTAATTAGGAGACTTGGAGATCAAGTTTAGGAATGGGTACCTAGAATGGCTGGCCTGCAGTGATTGGTATAGTGTCTCACTCACTAATCCAGAAGTCCTGGGAAGAACTTCAGTCTCCCCTTCAATTTCTGGGAGTTTTGTCTGCTATTCAAATTAGTATTTCTGCCTATTAAAATGGCACTGAGCATCAAATTGCAAATAATAGTAATAGCTACCTTTACTGAGCAATTACTAGACAGACCAGGTAGCATGCTGGGAACTCTTCCTACCTTATATATTAAATCCTACTACTTTCAAGTCCAAAGTATTAATGAATAGCAAGGGATATTACCTAGACAGACCTGTGCTCTATAGCTCTAAGAAGAGATTTGGGTGGAGACCTTCTATGAACAGGGGGAATTAAAGGGAGGAGGAGGTGAAGTCACTGTGGGAGGAAGGCCACCATCAAGAAAAAGCAGGAGTAACCAGAGGCAGGGAAAGAATGTAGAAGGAATAGATCCAGGCAAGCCAAAGATGGGGATGTTTCAAGGGGGAGGGGGCTCTGTAGAGTGAGCTACGGCAGAGGGAACTAGAAGGATCTGATGAGCTGGAGGAAAGTCAGGAACGGTGACAAGTGGCTAATATAAGAGGCTGTAAAGGTGATATAGCTAGACATGGCATTCTAAGAAGGAAAATGGTAGTCATTTTTCTCTGTTCAGAGAAGTGAGCTCAGGGATGTACAACTATGGGAGAATAGCATAGAAAGTTTCAGTCCCACCATATCTGGTGAGATGGAGGTTGGGGATTTGGAGAAAGGGCAGTATGGGGAAGGAATGCCTATAAGCCTGAGGTGGGAAGACATGGGTTCAGTGAGTAGAGGGCCTACTCAGCTGTGATTGGGAACTAGGGAGTCTAGAACATGAAAATCATATCTTATAGGGTTAGAAGACTTGGAGATCAAGTTTAAGAATGGGTTCCTAGATTTTCACTGTTTTTAAATTGAGAAACTGAGGCACATTAAGATTAAGTACCTTGTTCAAAATACATGTTAGTAATGATGGAGCCAGCTTTGTACATAGGCAGAAGGATTTTATAACCCTCCCTAACCTGCCAACACCTCACTATGAAAAGAGAAGGCCCATGTGACTGTTCGCTGCTAATTTATCAGTAAGAACATTCCACTGTCACCACCTTAAGCCTCCTTAGAAGTGGTATCCATTTTCTCAGAGAGACCTTCTGCAGGTTTGGTCTTTATTTTCTAACTCAGAGCCAACAAGGTGGGAGAGTCAAGAGGAATAACAGGTGGGACCAGGAACCTCCTTAGAACTTGGGTGTGAGAATGAGGGATCAGGATTTGGTCTTCCTGTTGGGCCCTAGTCCTATTGCCCATGCAGAGAACATGGGGTCATGCCCTGTAACCTGGAAGCCACAATGGAGCATTGCTGAGGCCCAGTTAGCCAGGCTGTCCCCAGGCATGGATGGGCCCATCATCACCTCACATTTGTTTCCATATTGACTGGAGTGCTTTCTCTTCTTCTTGTAACTGGAACGGTCAAATAATAGGTCCTGGTCTCCATTCTGGTTGTGAAAACACAAACTCAATAAATAAATATCAGGTGAAGCAAATAAAGCAGAGGGCTATGCTAAGGCTTGCCACCCAAAGCCACTTTAGGTCAGGTAGGTTGTGGAGGCCTCCCTAGGTGGTGGTGGAGTGCCTGAATCGTGGTGACTTTTCTGGCCTTACCCTCTCCAGAGACTGGGACTCTGAGTTCCAGGCAAATGTGTTCACCTCTGTCCCTCCTCCCCACTCCCCAACAGACACTTGGTGCCTCGGGTCCCTCTTGGGAGATGTCTAGGGTCCAGTCTCTGGCTTATGGGCTTGGCTGCCACAAGAAGCTGGACTGGATGATGGCAAATGTTCCTCCAACTCTGACAGCCGGTGTTCTCTACCTGGGAGTGCATCCAACCCCATTTAATGAACCTCATGTCTCCCGAGAGCAAGAAGCAGTACCTTGGCCAAGGCCCCATCCCATCACCCCTGCTTCTGCCTTTCTTTGTGACTCTTTTTCTCTTCCTTGAGTCCTCTGGGGCTGTCCCCCAACCCCAGTCCCCTTCGCTCCCCGACTGCTCCCCTGGGAG